AGTCCGATCAGCTTTAAACTTGGTATGCAGGTATTCCAGCATGTGTTACAGACAAAAATTACAGTGAAGAACTCGTTGATGTCATCATGTGATTTTTATGAATTATTAAATTTTTGGACCTTTTACTCATATCTCATCAATGGAACGTGGTAAATTCGAAATTGTTTTTTTTTTTAAGGTTTATTAGGTAATAGATAGAACCAGGTAATAGATAAAATGTGTGACGTCATCATGACATCATGAAAAACATGATTTTTGATGCACATATAATTACGAAACTTGGTGGGTAGGTACATGTAGGTATTGAAAAAAGCATTTAAAATCTGAAGTGACCTCATCATGACGTCATCATTTCATTTTGTTATTATTTTTTAACATTTTAATATTTTCTTCTAATCACCAAGAATGATATAAAAAACCACGATCCGATCGACTTCAAACTACACACTTTAATAGACCACTATTTGAAGGTTCATCCCGAATCATGAAGTCATCATGACGTGATCACGTGTCACGTGACCATTCCTCACCAAGGAAATTCCCCGGATTCTGCTATTCTCCTAACCAGGCTACGTGTATGTTGCACTTAATTTCACTACATGCACTCCATTTTCCAAAGGATAACACATGTTCGTTCAACACCCCACATTGGGACTACATCGGATCGACACTTAGTCCACCATCTATAGAATACTCATGTTCATGTACATTCCACTTGGATGAAATTCTTTCATGGCAGTTGTTGCTAAAATGGTCAAAACAGCTCAGTGTTTGTCCACAAACACATTTCTAGTTTTTATTTTTTGAGAAGTTTATTTTGGTGATTCTACTTATAGTCCAGCGGATATGTGAAAAAAATTGTGCACTTTTGCATAAAAGCGTGAAACTTCACAAAGACATAATTGTATAGATTATAAGTGTTTTCCAGATTCAGAGCCACCACAAAAGTACCTTTTTGGGGGCGTGGCAGCCATTTAAAAGAGGGGGGTTAATTATTATGCCCACCTTGGGAAAAATTGTGCTCATATTTCATGAACGAATAAAACGTCACACAGACGTTTATATTCATAAAGGGAAAAAAATCCAGATGTGGAGCCATCTCGAACACACCTTTTAAGGGGCATGGCAACCATATTAGAAAAAAAGGGGCAGGATTTTCATTATGCCCACCATGGAAACATTGTTCCCACATTCATAGAGAAATGGAACTTTCCACAGACATTGACATTCATGAGATAAAAAAATTCCAGATGTGGAGCCATCACGAACACTCCCTTTTAGGGGCGTGGCAGCCATATTGGAAAAAAGGGGCGGGGTTCTCATTATTCATTATGCCCGCCATGGGAAAAATGTGCCCACAACGATAAAATCTAATTCCCACAGACGTTAATATTCACGAGAAAAAAAATCAGATGTGGAGCCATCGCAAACACCCTTTTAGGGGCGTGGCAGACATAGTAACATGGGGGGGGGGTAGTCATGATGCCCCTATAAAAAAGTTGTGCCTCCCTTCTATAAACGGATTAAACTCCACACAGACAATATTCATGAAAATCTTTCTTTTTTTCGAATGTGAAGCCATCACAAACTTACCCTTTTAGAGGCGCGGCATGCATTTTTTAAATGGCGGGAGGGGGGGGTACTCAATATGTCCACCGTGGAAAATTTTGACTGCTGTTCATATTTATAATAGAATGCACCTCAGATAGCTCTTCTAATGTGTTGGAGTAAGGCCGCCTTTATAGTTGGAAGTGACTGTTGGCAAGCCCTTTTTTTCTTACACTATGCATTCTTGCCTCATCTATATTAACCCAGTTACTGGTTCTGTCGTCTGTAGAATTATTGTTAACCTCTGAACTGCAGCAATTTCTGAATTGGGATAAACTGTGGTACCTCAGTTAGTCTTGGAAAGACTATTGTTACTTCTTCAAATACATTATGTGTTTCCCATTCCTTTTTTTTCTGACAGACCCAAAGGCATATGCAGTGTCGCAACCTGTTTAAAGTACAAAATGTTGTCAGGGCTACTGAGTTTTTACTGGATTTGGTTGGGGTAAAACTCATCAGAGATATTGATATACCATTTTTTAGTGAACAGAGGGGGTGTATGGTGGGGATACACAGGTTCATTGACTGTGAAGTCATAGTGGACGTCACCAACACTTTCTGACATCATGTTGTGACCCAATCTGCTGTCAGTGTTATGATTTTTTAGCCTCGAGCTTTGCGCATCTTTTGATACCAAAAACATAAAAAAATCGGACCACGGGTTGCCGCGTAGCGAAAAATTTTCTGGCGCTATGCGCCGTGAAAACTGAATTTTCGTATATACGTCCTGTACACAGAGCAGAATTGCCATTCGTACATATGAATCATTAATTAGCCATAATTCCAAAACCCTTTGACCTATAGTCATGAAATTTCTTGGGTATGTTTATGAAGAGTTGCTCTATGCATGTGCCGAGTTTCAAAATTTTTCGTCACTCGATGGCCGCGATCTTAAGGGGGGGGCAGAATCCCCCCCCCCCCCCCCCCCCCCCCCCCCCCCCCCCCCCCCCGCCTGAGAGATGGTCAAAATAACCCGGCCCCTTTAGGGTTAAAGCTCCAAAAAATTCAAAAAAATATATTAAATCGCACGTGACGTCACCTCAATTTTTACCTATAACACATCCCGGTCTACAAACGTACCGAGTTTCAACCCAATCGGACTTACAGTTCTGTAGATATAGGCCTTCAAAATATGCACATTTGTGATGATGTCACGTGACCCATGATGACGTAATCATGACGTCACTCTTCGAGACACAACTTCACTATAGGGTCTTTACCTGAGATAAGTTTCATTGCAATAGGAATGTGTTTTAGGTCAAAAGTGTGTCACACCAAAAACGTGTACAAAGTCAATGGGATTTGGGGTGGACCCAAAAAGATCAAAAAGAAGAAGAAAAAAAAATCAGAACAAAAACAAAAGCTTTTTCGCAAATTTGCGAAAAAGCCAACGAGAGATCTATGTCTGTTTGCAACAGAACATAAGGCTTTTCCACTTTATGCTTTTATCAATAACACGTCCCAGACTATGCATGTACAACATTTCAAAGTATACGGTACAATAGTTTTTAAATTTAGCATGTAGCGTCTGTGAGATATATTATCTTCCAAAAGAAATAAATCCATATTAAATCAGACGTGTCGGACTACCTTCGTACCCAATTTTGGGTCATGATGACGTCACCTCAATTTTTACCTGTAAACACATCCCGGTCTACCGGTACATACCAAGTTTCAACCCAATCAGACTTTCGTACAGTTCTCTAGATATAGGACTTTACAATATGCACTTTTAGGATGACGTCATGTGACCCATGATGATGTCATCATGACGTCACCTCAATTTTCATCTTTAACACATCCCGGTCTACCTACATACCAAGTTTCAACCCAATCGGACTACAGTTCTGTAGATATAGCACTTTACAATATGCACATTTAAAATGACGTCACGTGACCCATGATGACGTCACCATGAATCACTCTTCGGGACACAACTTTGCGATAGGGACTATGCCTGTGGTAACTTTGAATGATGTATGAAAAAGATTTATGCCAAAAGTGGTGGGCAGAAAAATCATGTACAAAGTCGACATTTAGATTTAGGCGACAAAAAGAAGAAGAAGAAAGAAAAATCTTAACAAAAAGAAAGGCTTTTCCGCACTTTGCGGAAAAGCCAAAAAAAACTAGACTTATGTTTGTGGACAAACATAGGGCTGTTTCGGTAACTTTTTTTGACATGTGACATGTAAAGTTTCAAGTATAAGTTCCATCCAGAGGATGTGTAGTTCTGTTTATAATAAATGATAGTATATAATATGTGATTACATTCTCATAGGGCTTTGAATTATGACCTCACATGTCACGTGATGACTTCATGATGACGTTTCATCAATTTTCAAATTTCAACTATTTTTTTTGTAAATAACTACTTAGCCAGAGCATGCATCGTTCAAAGCAAGTTCACATCTTTCACCAATTTTAAATTACAAGGCACTTCCGGTTTCAACCAGAAGGAAGGGTCACGTGATTTTGCACATAATGTTAGAAATGAAGGCCCTGGATTATTCTATCAATTCCCGCAAAAGTCATGTTCATGTCTCTCACGGTTGATTTTATATTGATTTTCAAAGATTAAATTTATTAATCTTTAACATGACATCACCTGACCCATGATGACGTCATCATGACTTCATTTCATTTTTCATCTATAACACATCCCAGTCTAGGTACATACCAACTTCCAACCCACCAGACCTGTAGTTCAGGAGATAAAGGCCTTCAAAATATGTTTATTTTATATGACGTCATATGTCACATGATGACGTCATCATGACGTCAAGTTAATTTTCATCTATACATGTAAGACATCCCAGTCTAGTTACATACCAAATTTCAACCCAATCGGACCTGTAGTTCTGGAGATATAGCCCAATCTGTCAGATCTAGCCGAATTCTGTTAGAAAATGGTCACAACAGAAAAATCGCATATAATGTGACGTCACGTGACTCATGATGACGTTATGATGACGTCAATGTTCGGCGACCATCTATGGGTGGTGGTCTAAGTGTGTGCCAGGTATAAAGGCAATCGGGCTTGGGCTGAAAAAAAATTTAAAAATTTAAAAAATAAAAATCTTAACGAAAACAAAGGCTGTTTCGGCTGGTTGCCGAAACAGCCAATTAATTAATTAATCCAGATTGATTTGAAGAGCATTCATTCCTAAAACTATACTAATACCGGTAGTGTGAATTCTCAGTGCTTATCTGTGACATGTAACACTGTGATTTTTGGGCTACGATAACTATTTTTTGTTCCCTTACATGCAGAATTGCACTTCCGTTGATGGATTTTAAAAATCATATGAGTCAAGTATAAAATCTGTACAATAGTGTGTCCTTTCTTTGTTGCATCCTCTTTTATAATTTATTTTCCTTTTATGTGTGTGCAGGAGCATGCCTTTGAAAACAGTCAGAAATACAAGGAGGGCAAGTACATCATCGAATTGGCACACATGATCAAGGACAATGGATGGGACTGTGACTGAGTTTGCAGCCAGTCAAGGCTGTACATGTACGTTGACAGTCATGGGTATTAAGCAGAGTTGAAACCAGCACTTACTAAAAAAGTGAGCTATGAACCTGGTCATTCTGGTTAAAATGCCCTTAGCAATATTTTATGTATTGAATGGTGCCAAGACCCAAAGTGCCCATTTTATCAGCAGCTCAGTGTTAGCATGCTGCTGCTGAATAAGGATTTTAATTTGATGTATTATAAAGAATCCTACTTGTCACTCAAATACCTAAGACTGCCACACAAATCTAGGAAAGTACTTGGCTTACCTGGTCAAGTGGTCACCACCTCAACAGAAAGCATTCTGATGAGTATTCTGACAACATAAAGGCAACATTGTGTTTCTGAGATAAAAATACAGGAACTATTGTTTAACTGGTCTTCATTATGAAGTAAACAGGTAGACTTGTCTTTGCGACTATATCCTTCAAAAAAAAAGCTGAGGAAATTGTGTAATATTGTAAAAAAAAAAGTATGAAATTATTTAATTGTGTCCTTCTTTGACCTTATGGAAGGGAGGCTTGTACCGGTAGATGTAATTTTATGTTTGATAAACCTTACAAAGTCGACCTTGAGTACAGATTTATAAATTATTTTTTAATGCTACGGTATCATAAATGCATGTAGATGTAAAAATTTACGATAACTATTGTTGCAATCTGTATCAAGCACAGGGCTGTACAATACAGCAATTCTGTAACAAAGTTAACTTGGCCAAAGCTACGGAAGTAAGTTATTAACCTCTTAAAGGAGTGGGAACCACTATGGTTACATGTTTATCCATTTAAGTCAAACTCATCAATTGTTCTTATGTTCTTATGTGTAAGGGCAAGTCAAAGATAAAACGCATGTAAAATCTCTATCTTTTCACTCTTAATATAAATCATAATTTTTTCTCTTGAAAACAGTCACAACCAACAAAAACATGAAGAGATACCAGACCATAGAAGTATGTGTTAAAACCGAGTCAGAGGGCAATGGTTTTGTGTCACTGGGATAGGCATGAGTAAACCTTTTGTGCATTTTTTGCCACTAAATTTAATTTACAAAATACAAATAACACCTTCTGAGGCACCTAAAAAGAAAAGGACCAAACAATTTGGTAGATAGTCTTCCTGACCATAATGTCACATATTTTAGTTTTAATTGTACACTTTACTAGTATTGGTGTCATTGCCTGGACAGGTTATATTAGGAACTCAACATTTCCTGCATCATACAGTGAAACATGTAATCTGATTTACTGCAGTATGGTTTTGAATTAAAAAGTACAAGCATGATTAGAATCTAGGACCTCAAGAGTATTAAACATGAGGCTTGGCCTCGCCTGCTTTGCGGGGAAGACAGCTTGCCCGCCTGCTACCTGCTACGTGGGTGTGTTGACCACTATGCGGGAAGGCGCCTTTACATATGTAGCCCATGGGAGGGGGGGGGGGGGAGTCTCCGCTTTGATGAACTCATGAACACAAACATACACTCCCACCCATTGTGCTTTTTGGTATAGCGTTGATGTGCCTGTTCCTCCCCTTTTTTTCCAACATATCTGTGCAGGGCAAATGGTCAGAATATTTTTCAGCCTGTTACTCAGCTCAATTGCTTAACCTGTGCTTTGCGGCCAGGGATCACTCCCCACATAGAAACACAACACGGTGATGAACAGTTATCAGTTATCTTTACTTTGTTTAATAACATATTGATTCATTGTACATGTCATACCATAGTGATGTACATTGATGATACAGAATGTCCTTTCGTGCCACATTGTGTCGTCTATCACTAAGCTGTATCACCAGAAACCTAGTACATACATGTATTTCTGTACACGGGCTTTATTCACGAGTCGGCCATATCAAATTGAAAGCGAGGTGACATCTTCATTGTTGGAACTCGCGAAGGGAAATGAAAGCAATGACATAATTATTTTAATACCAGTCTGGTCTGATGAATAATTTGAAATTTGTGAGTTAACACATTTGTGATTAGCCACATTTAAAAAGAAAGTGAAAGTGAGGATCAATGCATTTAGTCTGGCGCCATCCCATTCAACATTCACAATTTATAAAATACATTCAGGGAACACGACCAAAATGGCTTCCTCTTGAATAAGTTCCATACATGCATTTAACTGTTAGTTTTCATACCGATCCACACTGACATTTGGTACATGTATAAGTCCAGTGGATATGTTCTGTAAGCCTATTACAAGGTTGTGCTTTTCGCCATAAAACGCCATCTTTTGTACAGAAGTGAAATCCTATTGAAATTACCAAAAGTTCAGCTAAATTTTAACTTTCTGGGGGAAAAAAAGAAAGAAAGAGAAACACCCAAAACCATGCTTGTAGATCTCAATTGCTTCTTTTTTGATCAAAGTATAAAAAAGTGATCAGGTAAGAACTCATGAAAATGCATGTACCTGTATTCTGGTATGGGTTAATATACCTGAGACCTAATGACGTCACGTTTTGTTTACATAATGCGCTTTGCTATGAGAGCCAGGTGGTACACATCCCACCTGGTTCTCATAGGAAAGTGCACATGTAAACAAAGCGTGACGTCATTAGGTCTTGGGTTTTTTCTGTGCACTAATACGAGAGGGTGCTTTTTTACCACTTTTGAGAGCCCCTTGGACGGGACTCACCGTGTGTGCATACAGGTTCCTGCGCATATAACGCGAAGTACGCGCAACAAATTATAGCCATCTTTGGCGATGCGTTCCAATGTCACTCCAAGTAATCTCCCCCAACTGTCCCTTTCTTACTGGGGAGGGGGTACTTGCGCACGGAGTGGATAGACTAATCTCGTGACAGCCATTTTGTTAAGTGGCATCAGGCTCATGCGAGTTGCGCTCGGGTAGTACGCACACACTCTGGGATACCTTCGACCAATAGGGTTACCAAAATGTGTGCACACCTTGTCTTAAAGAACACATACCCTTTCACGTGAATATGGTACCACCTCAAAAATGGCTTCTACTGTTGGCCGGATTAGTTGTTGTGCATATTTACATAGCTACACCAATTAGTAGTCAGGTGGCGCATGGTAGGAATCGTGAAAGACTGGTCCAAAGCACTACCAAATTTTGCAGATAGATTCTTATAGCCCTAAAGATGATAAGTAGAAGAGGTGATACCCGAATTCTTTTGAGAAGGGTGCCTAATTTGCGATAAATACCTGCTGTATAATATATTTATTCCCATTTTGGGGTATATTTTATTATTTTTTATATTTTGAAAAGTATATTTTGGGGATTCTACTTACATATTCTTACTTAAATAACATTTTCTAAAGCACATCAGAGACTCGATGATTATAAGGACATTATGATTCAAAAGGGCTACTACTATACCCTAAAGTTGCGCGTATTTACCTTTTCCTCAGATATCAACTGCTAGTCTTGCCAAACCAGTTGAGGAGCTTCAAATTCACAAACTAACTTACTGGCACCTAACAAATATAAATGAGAAATTCATGTGAAAACTGATAACGTCTTGATATTGAGCCCCCTCCCCAAAAATGAGAAAAAATACCGAGGTTTGGCAAGACTACTTGATATCTGGAGAAAAGGTAAATGCGTGCAACTGTAGGGTGTAATAATAGCCATTTTGGATCTTTACTATTGTCCTCTCATTATCCAGTCACTTATATGCTTTAGAAAATGTTATTCAAGTAAAGATATTTCAGAAGGGTCCCCAAAATATACTTTTCAAAAAATAATACCCACATTATAGGGGACAAAAATATTACACGGCAGGTAGTTACAATTTATGCAAATTAGGAGGCACCCTTCCCAAAAGAATTTTAAGTGTCGCCCCTTCTAAATATCTTCTCTGGGCTATGAGAATCTATCTGCCATGTTTGGTGCTTTGGACCAATCTATGCTCTCGAAAATCATAAACTTGCAATTAGATAAAAATTTTCTACAACTTCAAGCCTGTCATTTCGGAACATTCTGAATGCTTTCTTCGGGTTCCAATCAACAAATACGCTACTTATCTTCAGCAATTTCTATTGATTCAGTCCATGCACGCATAAGCTGCATCTAACCTGAGAGTTATGAACCATCAGTTTGATAAAATATTGCACCCATAATCCAGTGTTTTTGTGATAGCCAAACATTTGTAAATACATGTACATATCTTAATGCTTTATTATTAAAAATAAAAAGGTTTTACATGTTATCTTCTGTGTTTTACCATAGATCGTCAGCATTTTCAGTAAAGATGTACCAGCTGTGCTATTGCCCTGTTTTACCTAGCCTTTCGTCAAGGCAATCGTGGCTCAGAGCGACATTGAATTTTGCATTCTGGAAAAAGAACAAATCATTTGTTACATATAAAAGAGAAAATGTCAAATTTGAAATGGACCTCAAAATATAATCATGCACAAGTTTGCTTTCAGTGAGTCCTTTTAGTATTCAAGTTGACCTTGTTAATTGAACACAATCATGCAGGACAGATTTTTTTGACATGGTTCTCAATAAGCAAAGGCGATAATTTTTCCCAATACAATGAGTGGGGTCATGAAACACTCTGTATGTCCCTCATTACATATTTTAAGTAGTAATTCAATTGTTCATATCAATGAAGGAATTATTTGCTTTTTAGGGGGTCTACCCGATGTTCCCCAATACGTATGTTCCCCAATACCGATATCCCCCGGGCTAGGGTTAGGGTAATGATTTCGGGGAACATCGGTATTGGGGAACATAGGTATTGGGGAACATAGATATGCACCCGCTTATTAGTATTTGACTTGATTTAGAAATAAATTATTGCAGTCAAAATCAAAGTCTGTAGACTTCAGTATGTGTGCACCATTGTAAAAAAATTGTGTTTTGCTGATGGTCATTGACACGGTATACTTTTTAACCATGCATTTTAAATTTCTGGATAGAGGTTTATAAGCCCATCATATTCTCAATCAACAGTACGGTGAACCATTTCTACACTTTTTTAATTACACGAAATCCACCAGTCAGTTACAGACCGCTACTCCAATCCCATACTCGCATCCCCCCCCTACAGGTTTGGTGTACGTTGAAGACTTTTCATTGTCACTGGTAATTACTTGTACTTTTTGTTAGTACGTTCAAGTTTCTGCAAATGATTTTGTTTGATAAATATCTAAGGGTAACTTGCTAATCAAGAACACATTACCTTTTGTGTCCTCGATATACACCCAACACCAACTGATCAGAGTATCTTGGTGAGCTTGTAAACGTGATTATGATAGATAGTTACTTTGTTAATTCCGGAAATAATTATACTTTCTCTAGTATGTGTGTGTATTGCATGCATCATGTGATTCAATAGTTGTAGGATTTTCTTCGATATTCTGTGCCTTTAAGATTTGAAAACCTGTCCCTGAATGCTTTCGTTCAATTTCGACATTTAATTTATTAAATTGATAAAAGAAACCGTGTCACTCTGAAGTTTGTTAAGTATATTAAAAGGTCGTCATTCTAGTGACTACAATCCGGTTCGTTAGTAAATACATCATACACGCGCGCGCACCACTGATTACTGTACTAGCGCCCATTGGATAAACACTCAAGTTGCGTTATTTCCGGTTCCAATCACTGGTTCCGATCATAGACATATAATAATTTAAGACGCACCCGTTGGAAAGGCCTTCTTTCGTTGATTTCTTCAAAAAGACAGCTTGCTAGAAAGAATAATTTCACAGGGAGTTTAGTCCCCTTACTATCTTTCAACCAAGTATGTTTTTCAACAATAATTACGCCAGTTACTTTTTGGATAGCTGCAAAATGATGGACTCGGGCTTTAAGCATGTTAAGGGTGCGTTCGAGCGTGTTACTCTTGCTACTCCCGAGTGCAGGAAAATGTTGCGTGCGCACCACTCTCGGTGCAAGAGTATGATGGGGAGCATACTCTTGCTAACTCGCGGGTCGTACTCCTGCCGTTCGGGCGCTCAGGAGTATACTCGTGTTAACCATAGATATAGAACTTAAATAACTAGATCGGACGCGCGTTCGAACGCGCCATTCACTGTGCACAAAACTTTTGGGTTCTTCATGGACGCGCTGCAAAGTCACGTGAATAGGGCCACGCGCAAAGGGCAGCTGGTGAATGCTGGACGGAAAAATATTGCCAACACCCCCACCTGAATTCAGCTATGCGTTGAAGTTCTTAACAACAGGTTGACATTTTTAACTACGATTTTTGACATTTCACATTCCTTCGAAAAGTTACACATGGGTTGGCATCTGTGTCGTATTTGGGGCCAAATTGGCGACTGTGTTGAAGGTAATTGATTTTCAGCCAAGAATACTACTTTGTACCGAGAAGTAACCACATTGTGTTCTTATATCTTTACAAAGGCAAATGTCAAAAGCGTAGTTAAAATGTCAACCTGTTTAATGAGATTTCCCCCTCCTTTTTCAAAATGTGCAATAAATATCAACCATTACTTGCCCATCAGACAAAACAAAAACTTTTAATTTTACCAACATCAAAATGAAATAACAGAAAATCATTTTGTAAATGAGCAACAACAAAAACACGCACTTGAAATAATACGTTGCTTTAATACTGCTAGCCTCAATAGACCGCTTGCAGACGCGATCGATAATTGACGCGCGAAGGTGCGCGACGCCATGTTATGAGACAAAATGTGCATAGATAGATATACGCTTGTCCCACAACATGGCGTCGCGCGCCTTCGCGCGTCGATTATCGAACGCATCTGCAAGCGGTCTATAGGAACATTAAATTTGAAATGAATGGATGACTACAAAAACAATCTCTGGTCATCTGTTGTGTTCACTGAACACATAGCCTTGACCAAGGCGTTGGGCTTATCGATTCGCCGATAAAAAAAAAATCGCCGATAAGCAAATCCCTAATCAACTTGGCAAGGCATAAATGCGTGCACATATCGATGCCCGTACGCTGCTAGTGAGAAAGTAACTTGTACCATACAGCAAGGCTATGCTTGTACATGTACATGTACATGTACATGTACGTACGCACGTACATCACACACATACTCGTACAACAGCCATGCACACACAGTACATGTACATGCATGAGCTAGTCCGCGTAACCCAACGACAGGCCACGCGGCGCGTATATCCCCCACACGTACGTACGTACACCCACACGCAGAACATAGTAGGCCTACGTTTACTGCCTTATTACACCATGCGTACAGTCCGTACTCACGTGTGTGTGCTTGCTGGTTGTGTTAGTACCGAACCGTTCGTACGGACAAGGGTCGGTGGTACACGCACGGACAAGGGTCGGTGGTACACGCACGTAACCGCGTTGATTGTGGGTGCTAGGGCCCGATTATCTCCCTTCGACAAAAAGCCGAGAGACCGCATTGAACAAGGCTACTGAACACACTGATACTTGAATAACTTTTAGATAATAAACAATTTATATACAATGAAAACTCACTCGCTAGCTAATAAATACACTGATGAAATGGCAGTTCCATATCCATAGCCATTAATCAAGGTGTCAAGAATATCATTGCTCATGAAAAAAATACATTTGGTTGTCACCATCCGCATAATTATGTGAAGGTTTAGCCTATGCAACTACCAGCAGTTGAGTATTGCTTCCCATTATTTATGAACCAGAATAAGTAATTTCAATATATCTTCCTCATATGCATGAACGCAAATAGACGGCTATTCAATCTTTCAATTTCTGAGGAGCAACAATAAGATGATAACGAAATACTGAGCGAAACTTGTTAAATTTTAGCTATGGTCCACGCATGAGGCAGTTATGCGTGGCCAGCTATATCCTCACTGTACGCACAGTCGGCAGTGCAATCTTCTTTCTGACGAAAACGTACGCTTTTGTCGAGTAGTGCAAACTTCTTCATCTGTTCACTATGATTGTGATTCGTTGAGCAAGGCGCAGTTTTCCCAGCTCCAGCAAAGTGACTTCCAATTGCAGAATAGGAAACTGTGTTTCCATCTGGTCGGCCGTCTCTGGAGTAACAAGTTGCTCCTCTTTCAGGCCTTTTACCACCTCTCTGACGGATAAGATCTTTTTCGACATGATCGTCGATTTTCCTGCCGGAGCTGTCTATTTTCCTGTTCAAGCTTGGACATATAGCCTTCCTGTCATTTCTGGTGGTAGACTGTATGCATGCTCTATCGCTGGTTTGATTTGCCGATACAGCCATGCACTGAAGCAATATCTTCGACGGGGGCTTGGGTCGGTTCTTTCCTTGTCGTTGGCAGCTTTTCTCTCTCGTGCTGAAGTCCATACACGAGACTGTAGTCTTTCTACGAAATAAAACAAATAAAGCACATGATAGGCCTTTAAATACATGACAATAATTATTGATAGCCTATCCTGGCCCCAAGTCTCATTGTAATACTTACAGGCTTCAAATGAGTCGGGTATAGTCTTCAAAGTTGGACGGTACGGCATCGTCACGCAGACGGGTTTTCCCCCATTCCACCTTGAAGCACTCTGCAGGGAAATGGTCGCTGCAAAGACGATCGTGCTTTGTTGGATTCCATTTGCTGCCATTTGGAATATTTCTCCTAATCCGCTGAAGCCTAACTTTTAATCTCTTTCGATTGCCATGGGGGAACCTGGGAAGTAAAATTAATAAGCCTCGATTGAATTTTTTTTGGAGTTTTAGCAAAATGCAAACATTTTTGTAGGACTTTATCCTTCAAGATATACAATCCGTGTTCTTCAAAAAAAAAAAATGAAAAGGAGATGGGAGTTGCCTTGATACACTATACACTACAGATCAAACAGCATCACATCTTTACCGTAAATCAACACTCCTGAAGTCTACCCGAAATTGCAAATGTTGTGGATTTTTTTGATATTTTGTTCGTGTTGTTTAGAACACGTAGTTAGTGAACAGATTTGTGGCAAGTCTTTCTTAACAATGGACAAATTAAAAGAAAAAGTGACGGATCATCACATAGGCCTACGCCTTGAAATTGTTTCCAGTGCAAACGTCATTGATGTGTTCAAACTGGGAGAATGGTGCATTTTCTTCAATCACCCACATCCCACAACAAAAAAAGACTCCCAATCCTTGTTCCCAGCGAACTATTATTGAAAATCACGAGAGGGGAGGGGTGACGTTAGGCCAGAAATAATTGTTAGTCGATGTTCAGGCAAGGAGTACCATCTTAAATTTTAAAACAATGTACTGTCAAGATTTCAAGTAGGCCCTGCGCAGTTATTACAAAATTCGGAGGATCCTTTGGACCACACCCACTCTTGTGATTTATGTCAATTCGCCTTGCGTAACGTAGCCTATAATGAGTTAATTTTTATAAAAGCTGTCTTGTTCGAAATAGAGTCACAAGAGATAAATTCTATGTATTAAGTTACTCACACATGATGTTAACTTCTTGAGAGACTGTCCTCCGGGACCCTTTCTCCGTCCCAGTTGCACTTTGCTGCTGCACAGTTTGCCACCATTTTCAAGTCCTTTCCTCCTAGCCTACCACGGCAAGCATCGATGGAGAAGTGCAAGTGATCGTCACGCCGAAGAAATGCGCGTTTAAATTTTTGACCCTATTCACGTGAGCAATGGCAGCATCCTGTCAAAACGCGCGTATTATACGCGCGTCCGATCTAGTTTTTTAAGTTCTATATCTATGGTGTTAACACGAGTAGCACGCTCGAACGCACCCTAAATGTGTCAAAATATGGCACATTATTGGGAGACTTTTGACTAGTTCTAATTTATCGCAAGAGGGCGTGCTTCAACGGTCCCGGAAGTAAAGAGTTCGTATTTTGTTGTCCTTGATTCGTGCACAAGCAGTGCACCTCATTCAATGAAACCTTGCACCAAATGCCTGGATCTTGCTGTGCCGTGTTCGGATGTTGCCACCGCGGAGGGCACACATTTCCCAAGGACAAAAAAATACGAAACCAGTGGAGACGGGCCATCAAAAGGGATAGTTTCAAACCCATACGACCGTGGTGGCCAGCGGCTAGCAGTCTTGTGTGCAAGGCGCACTTTTTGGACTCCGATTACGAAGAGAAGTCAGTGCTGGGTAAGTTTAAAACAAAAACTATTCATAATTTCCCCCGATTTTTCAGCAATATTCAATGATGATCATGGCATGGTATGAACAGGACGACAGTGTAGTACTACTAGTAGCAAAGACGATATTTCTCTAATGTCCGCGTCTGCAATTGTAAAGTTGCACTGTGTTTCTTTGCTGGACATGATGGATATCCATGCATAAATTTGTACTGGCAAAGACAAAGTGGCATAAATGTTGCAAATACTGCCTGGTTGATTTTCCACTAATGGTCGAAATGAATTGTGGGAAGGAAAAAGGAACACTGTCTGTTTGTTCCTGTTTCCTTCCCATGGTGCCTTTTGTCCATTGTGCAAAATCAACCAACCAGGCAGAATTTGCGATAAGTGTTAGGGAATGTTCATATTAAAAACAATAACAAAGAAACACAGAGTCTCATTGCTTGCTCAGATCTCTCTTTTGCAACATCAACAACATCTCATTCAATGGGAGACTTTGAGACGCTTGGTGGTAGCAAACATACAACATGGTCCAACACGACTGGTCCGCTATTGTTAGCATTGTTTTGAGTACCCGTACCTTTACACTGCACATGTAGTACGACAATACTCGGAATTGAACTTCTAAGAGGGATTGTACTTTCTGGAAGAAGAAGCGCACATTAACTCAAACATGATAAAAACAATAGTGGACAATTGACATGTACGTGGAACCATTACATGTATGTTTGCTGCCACCAAGCATCTCAAAAGTCTACCATTGAATTTGCACAGATTTTTTTAAAAACTTTGCAATGTTATTACACATGTTAAGAGTCCTTAATTAATCAACACAGAATACAATAGGGCCTAATTAAACAGAGATACCTTTACACCCACTTGAAACGCTGAAAACATAAATGTACAGGGATGAGATTACCAAGCCAATTAGAACAAGAGGGCTGAAACTTAGATGAAAGGTCTGAAAGATAAATTGTATTTCAGACAAAAGTCTGTAAAATCTCTTCTATGAATGTTCATGATTAGTTTGAGAGGAAGCTCTTGCCAACCAACCACTTTTGCATTAATGCAACTTATCTAAGTACTTTTATCATGATGTTTCAATTGTTAATTGCAGGTTTCAAAGTGAACAAGAAAAAACTAAAGAAAACAGCTGTCCCAAGCCAGTTTGCATGGAGTAAAGTAGAACCCTCTTCACCAGCACTGTCAAGAGAAAAACGACTGAAGGAACGGAATGAAAAGAGAAGGCTTGAGAAAGAAGAAGTGAAACAGGATGAATGCAGAAAAGGGGAATCAGCTGAGAATGATGCCGTCGTGCAAGATCTTAATCTTGCCATGCAGGTTGACATCGAGAGTGTTCCAGTCATTCAGGAGGTACACATTCAAACTGATCCCCTGCCCAACTATTCTACGTGCACTTCCGAAACACAGACAGAGTCTAATCGTGGGTTTACGATAGAGGATTTCAAGACTGATTCAGCAGGAGTGCATTATTACACAGGTCTTCAAGATTACCTCACATTTTCTGATGTTTTAGCTTCATTGGGGCCGAGTGCATTTAAGTTGACATACTTACACGGTGTACGACCCAGCATCTGTGTACCAGATCAGTTTTTTCTAACTGTTATAAAATGCAGAAGATACACGCCAAACTTTGAACTAAGTCGTATGTTCAAAATAAGTGAGTCAGAAGTTTACTGTATCTTTGTAACCTGGATGAGATTTATGAGTCTTCAGTGGAGAGAGGTGGATATATGGCCCAGCAGAGACTGTGTTAGTTTTTATGCTCCATCAGATTTTAAGAGGAACTTCCCCACTACACGGACTATCCTTGATGGGTTTGAATTTCCTGTAAAGAAACCCAAAGCTCCCACTGCTCAGCAAGTCACCTTTTCTACATACAAAAATCGCAATACAGCAAAGTCAGTTGTTGGAGTGACCCCAGGGGGTCTTGTCAGTTATATGTCTTGTGCTTATGGAGGTTCAACTAGCGACCGACAAATAGCAGAACGCAGTGGACTGACTAGGAGAACAGATCCAGGAGACGCCATCATGGTAGACAAGGGATTTGATATCCAGGACATTTTTGCACCAGTAGATGTCACCATAAACATCCCAACATTCTTCAGGAAGAAGAATAGAATGTCAGGAAAGAGTGTTTTAAGGGATAGGAAAATTTCCAGTAAGCGAGTCCATGTTGAGAGAATTATTGGTCTTGGCAAAATGTACAAAATTCTCACACAGCCACTCAATCAGACAGAGATGACTCTAGCATCTAACATCGCATTCGTTTGTTTCATGCTGCTTAATTTCAGAAAATGCATCATTCCAAGCAGTGCCTAAGGAGGTTTTCCTCAGTAGATTTTGGTAGTCGTACCACCATGGCATCCGCATTTCTCTAATTGGGCGATTCCATGAAAAAGGGGACATGGTTGTAAAATGGAAATTTACTTATATCTTCAGAACTACAAACATCACAACAACAAGTGTGGTATTAAATTAATGGGGACAACAAGATCTTTCATTTGAGTGGCATGCCAGTGGGATGGAATGTAGTTCAGTGTGATTTTTGTCCAAAAAATTGTTTTGGGGCTAAAATGGTGGATTTTTGTGGTCATTTTTGCACCTTGTTTTAACATATGAAACACGCATGTTTAATATTGTGATTTTTTTATTTTAAGTCAGAGAGAAAGCTAGTAGGTGAGTTTTACCAAGACAAATCGCAATTATTCCAACCTAATTTTCCATTGGCAGTGTAGCAAACATTGATGTTTCACAGAGTGTAACGTTTGTCACGGAAATTGTAACGTCCGTCACAGGCTTAAATGGCGGATTTCTTCTAAAACCATGTGATTTTAAAAATTTAATATTTTGTGCAGGCTACCTCAGACCAGCACACACTGATGGAAATACTAGGATTTTTCGCAAGTGTGTAAAATTCACAGGGATTTGAACTGAGTGTCAAGAGTCAAAGGTGCTTGTCTTTTAAATGTAACATCCGTCACAAAAATGTTTTGGAGTTTAATGAAGGTTGACAGAAACTCAATATCTTGCGTTCCATGTAGTTAGTGACTTGTTGTGCTATCATACTGTAACTATTAACTATGGTTAAAAATATGCAAGACAAACTGTTGGCTATTTTCAGTGCGAATGTAACATTCATCACAATTTGAAAATGAATGTAAATTTTGAAGTGGTTTTTAAATGCTGGCTGGGAACTCATTAATTTTGTCTTGTGCAGATTTAAGCTAGACTTTGCCCAAGTCTTTGTTTTGATGCCTTCAAGTAGAAAAAAGTCAAAATTTTACATTTTTCCCAACAATTGTGTTCATCATATTCACCTTGTGATATGTGATATGTGAAACACCCCTCTAGCCTTATTATTAATGGTATGAGTCTCATGTGTACAGTACTAAAATCCTCAAATGTATGGAAATTGGCATGTGTGAAATGAAATGTTGATTCTATGGAATACGGACTCATTGATTGTATTGCGCATGTCTATGTCATGTGACGATGAATACTGCCTTGTATGATTGTTAGAGTTGATAAAACAGGAGTCAAAATTTCTTATAAAATTATGAAGGTGTTTAAAACAAGTTGGTACCTTTATCATCTTTTGACCAATAGAATTGGTAAACTGTCTGAGGTATTTATGACTAGACTTTATACAAATCTGAAATGCTGACAAAAAAACAAGGAGTTTCTGACTTTGAAATACATTAAAATTTATTATAATTTACTATGCACACGTTAGAAGAACATAAGTTATTGACATACATATTTTTTCATTAAATAAAAATACTAACTTTGTATCCCAGAGCATCTAATGTACATACATGTATGTATGTATTGAACTATAATTTATTGTGCACACATGGCAGAAGAAAAAAGTTAGTGACATAGAGATATTTTTTCACCAAATAGAAACACTGTAAGTCTGTATTCCAGAGCATACATATGTATGTATTGCATTATAATTTATTTTGCACAGGTTCGAAGAAAATAAGTTATTGACATACACAATTTTTTATTAAATAAAAACACTAAGTTTGTATCTCAGAGCATCTAATGTACATATGTATACATGTATTGAATTATAGTTTATTGAGCACACGTGGCAGGAGAAAAAAGTTATTGACATACATATTTTTAAATTAAATATAAACACTGTAGGTTTGTATTCCAGAGCATACATATGTATGTATTGCATTATAATTTATTGTGCACAGGTTCGAAGAAAAAAAGGTATTGACATACATAATATTATTTTAAATAAAAACACTAAGTTTGTACCCCAGAGCATCTAATGTACATATGTATGTATTGAATTATAATTTATTGTGCACACATGGCAGGAGAAAAAGTTATCAACATAAGATATAGTTTTTCACCAAATAGAAACACTGTAAGTTTGTACCCAGAGCATCTAATGTACATGTACATGTATTGCAACAGTTTTGTGAGCTAAAACATGTCACTAGTCAAGTTGACATACATTTCGTAAATAATTTTCAATATATTTATCTTCTATTAATTTCTAGTTAATAGGGCCCTTTGCAGACGATTCATGTACATGTATCTACAGGGTTCCTGGCCATGCTGGAAATCAGGGAAAACCTGGAAAATGAGTTTCCCTTTTTCCAGATAGGGAATTTGAGAAAAAATGCCTCAAATCAGGGAAAGGTCAGGGAATTTGATTGGCCCAAAATAGAAAGTGGTCAGTTTGTTATATTATGTCTCATGTCCAAACAGCCAATCCACTGAATGATTGGCTATGGTGGCTTTTTGGTGTGGAAATAGGTCAAAATAAGTATTCTAGAATTGTGAAAATTCATCAGATAAAACACAGGGGAAAATCAGGGAATTTTGTTTTCATGAAATGCTAGGAACCCTGACTTATAACAGGCCATCAAAGGCATTTACATATATAGAATGTTTGATGCCATGCACTTTAGATAAAATATAATACTGTTACATGTACATGACAGTTATATATCAAACACTAAAAAAGGGATGGTCTCAAAAGTTTTCCATTGAATCCAAGTAAAAGAAAAACAGTTCTTGCGTTTGGTCTGGTTAACGAATTTTGTTTGTCATTAGCAGAGAATAAATGAAAGTGTGACAACTACAGTACATGTACATGTATGTCCACTCCATGACTAAAACATTTGAAGCTCAAGAAACCAGGACTTCTTTTCTGTGATGTTTTCTTTTGCCTTTGTCTTAGGAAAAGTCATACTTGTCAGTAACTCTGTACAGAAAAGTTTCAAGCAATGCTGCCTTGAAAAACTGTTCGAAGAAATCCCGGAGTCTGATTTTGAGTTCGTTTATAAACTCATCATCTCGGGGGATGTGCATGATCTTCATATCTTTCGTTGTCCACACAACAAAATCACACCATTTCCTTTTTGTACACAACAAATTCCCCTGTACCTGGTAATAATAGTTGTGACTGTGTTTTAATGCCATTTTTCCAGAGCTGTCCATAAATAAATAGGGCACACTTGTTGGAGTTACTGCACTGTCTTTACATGTGTAAGGACACTTCACTTCAATAATCCTATCATCATCAACAAGGCCATCTGGTGAACATGCCAAATATGGGATTTCCATGCACACATGGATTCCACAACTTTTCACCAAATTACCTGTCTTACTGCTGTAAGCCTCCACAGCTACAGATTCATACTTCAGCCCATGATCTGTGGGTTTACTGGAAAACTCTGAGATAGTTGTCAATGACCTAGCCATTTTTTCAAAGTCTGTTCTAACCCCTGACTTACATATTCGGCCAAAGTTGGAGGCATGAAGTCGTTTTCTTCTTTCTTCCTTCCAAAACTTGTTTGTGCTTTGTCCCCTTGTAGCTTCTTCAACCTGTTCTAGATCGTTCTCTGTGATGTTGGTAACATTAAGACTCTTAAGAAAGTATTCTTCATGAGTTAGTTCCAGGTAATCATGATCATGAGTCACTGCAAAGATATTTGCAGGTGCATATAACTGCCGAATTGGCAGATCTTTTGCTTGTGAATTTATCCACACATTTCTGAAGTGATCATTATACTCTCGTGTATTTCTATATTGAGCAGGTCTTGGGTCAAAATTATTAAGTCGTTGAAGCCCCTCAGATTTACGAAGTTTAATTTGAGACATCTGCAAAGGGGAGCCATCATATTTCTTGCTCTGATGATGGGTTTGCAGGACTTCTGTACAAGTTTGCATTGTCAAAACCCCTTCTTTTTGTTTAGTAAGGGCAAACAGAGCCAGACCGACATGCTTACAGTGAGCATTAGGGCCAATACCAACAGAACACTCACACTGAGTTTCCTGCACTACCCCATACTTGTCTAACTTTACATCTACTTTGTATACCAACGTCTTCTTCATTTCTGCTGCAACTCTAGCTGCTATGTATATATGGTCACCCTCGCTGCTGTGACGCAATGAGAGAAGAAACCTGTCCCGATACATCGCCTCTGGCTTGCCATCTTCAGACTTCCCAAACTGTTGTATGAAGGCCTTCAGGGTGTCATTTGTTACATGTGGAATCTAAATAAAAGAAGAAAATCCTTAGTAACTTGTGAAAATGTCATCCAAACATATCCAAATTCACTGACACAGTGCTTTTGGGGGTGGGTATAATAATAGCGAGAGTCCTGTAGCCTGTTGAACAGGTACATGTATGCAAGAAAGAAAGAAAAACAAACCCTTGCAAACTCTTTTGAGCTATTCATTTATGTACATAATGATGAATGGGACCAACAATGTCTGAAAGACTCCCAGAAATGTCTCTTGCTAAAATAGTATCTTGGCTGAGTTTGAATTACCTAGACTCAATTGTATGCAAGACTCTGTGGAGACATCAGCAGACCTGAGAAAGTAATTTGATTTCATAGTGGATAGATCACTATGATAATTTCCGAAATTCAAGTGACCTACACACAAGAGCACACATACATGTACATGCACAGCAGGCAAAAACTCTGACACATGGCTACCCAGCACATTTCCTGCTGTGATTTTCATTTTTATCTGTTGATTAAATAAGTCTACTAACCTGGCTGTCTCTATTTACGTCCTTGTATGTTGACAAGTTGGGCATAGAAAAAGTATACACCTCCTCGGACTCCTCCAAATCACATCCTTGGCCGAAATTAAAATTTCTGTCGTAGCACTCAAGTCTGAAAATAAGAACAAATTTAAGAACATTTTAGAGACTCTAAATATTACTAGGCTCTAGCCTATCTAGGTCTGTGTTATAAAAAAACGCAGTGGCTATAGTTACGGTACCCATAACGCAACCCTCAACGGCTATCATTACGGAAGCTGTCTAGTTCCCCAACGTACTGGTATTCAACATCACAATGTTTGCTTTTGGGAACCAGACTATCAACCAAATGGTTCTCGGACTTTATTCCCCTTAAAAAACAAAACCGAAACCACAGAAGTTAGGGAAGAAAATTGAATCTACTTAAATAAAAATCATCATTTGATCAACAACTTACACTTATGAAATCTTTTTGAAAAAAAAAGAGGGAAAAAATTGTCAAAGGCACACCTTGGTCTTCTACCAACCGAGCTATCGACACACTCGAGCAAAATGGGGAGTTGTAGGCTAGGCCTAATTTATACGTTCGCCTTGTTTTTTTACAATGCTGTACCGATAGCATTTTTGAAGGCTGCGTTATGTTTACCGTTTACCGTAACTATAGCCACTAGGCCTACGTATAAAAAAAAATAATGGAATTGATTTTTTAAAAAAATCCAAGAGCGCTTTAATTTGAGGAAAATAGGCTTACATAAAAATATTGGCAAAGTAAATACATGCATTATAAATTGCAATTGACAGGGGAACATGTAGACCGGCCGTTTATGCCATGGGCGGAGAAAATCGTACCGCTGTACTTCACACAAAGTTGCAGTGCATGGAGCGACCGACCGCCATGTTTACCGGCCACCACGCAAGCCTGAGCCTGCCGCGCCGGCGGTGGCCATTTCGGACAATCACGCTCACAAAATTGACCTTCGACTTTGACGGTCTACTCAGGACCTTCTGATGGGCCATTATTTCTTCAAAATAACTAGGGCCTAATTTTCTTTGTACGTGCGCTCGAAAGACTTTAAATGTCAAAAGAAATGGTAGGCCTAGCTGACAATAACTGTTGACAAAATAGGAAGCGCTATCTGCACTAGTAAGTAGTATAAAGCCAAGGTTAACAAAGGCTAAGCCTGGCCTAACGTTAGTCCTCGACTTACCTCTCGACGAGTTCCTTTTTTCTGCCAGATGTTTTGGCGTTTCGCCTCCTTAGTTCCTCCTTCAAGAGAGCTATTGTCATAGATCCATAGGCACGGGCTGCACCCTGCATATTTATATATTGGTACGAACCTCGTTAATAAGAGGCTAAATAAAATACTCGAGCAAGATTAGCGCAGCTGCGCCAGCGGCTGATTATTGCAATGAAACTGCAACATTTTCTTCCTCGCGCCAAAAATTGCCTGGGACCGCTATGTTTGCTGCCCTCTACGACACTGTCCGTCAAAAGTCTCCCATTAGGCTGCAGTTTATCCGTTTTACGCGCCGATGCTATTTTTAAAATGTTGAAAGTTGTGTTTTTGAAGAATCAATGTTTTCAAACATAAGGCTTGGACGTTGCGTTATTTATAGCAAAGATTTGTATTAAAGGTACGTACCCCTTTCGTCCCTTTACAACCGCATAGCCTATACAGGTTTTTAAGCGAAAAACGAGGCAGCCATAATCCATATCGTACGGGCATCGCGCAGTTTTGAATATTCGTACGTGACGTGACGTGCAAAGCACGATGGGCGCGCCCGGCGTGCAATCTTCGAAATGGCCATAGAAATAGAATAAAAAGACTAGATCGGCAGCGCGTGCATACGCACGGCCTTGCCTGGAGGGTCACGTGCTGGAGGAAAGATACAAATTGCGCGCTAGACGTGGCGAACGCAACGCCGTTTACGCGCACATTGCGAGTTTATTTTCTGTTACTTGAGACCTTCAATGCCAATAATTATACACAAGAGAATAAATAAGATAACATCGTTCCCATAATGTTGAAACCCCAGTCTACTCTTGTTTATTTCAATCAGTATATCTCTTTCAATCAGTATCTCTTGAACATGGATCATCAGAAACTGGTTTCAAAGTAAGTTTGATTTGGATGATGAAGCTATAATTGAATAATTTCCACCACGGATGATGAGCAAGCCCTTCACCAATATAGAAGTCAAAAAGGCGACCAATCACTTAAAAATTGCAAAAGTGCTGGAAAAGATAATCTCAGTGCCGAGCTGCTAAAGTATGGACCCGAGATGATTGCTCAAGAAATTGCCAGAACTCTGAATGAAACCGCTAGCACTGGCATCTACCCTGACGACATCAAAGAAGGTATTCTCGTTCCTCTTCCTAAGCCAGGCAAACCAAAGGGACCCCCAGTGAACATAAGGCCAATCGTTCTTCTGACAATTATCCGGAAAATAATGGCCATTTGTTTGACGAAGAGAATCGCCGACAGATTAGACGACCACATACCAGCTTCCCAAGCAGCCTATCGACACGGCAGAGGCACCACTGAGCAGGTCTTTGCCTTAAAGATCTTAGCAGAGAAGGCCATCACAGCCGATAGCTATGAACTTCACCTACTGCTGCTCGACATGTCAAAGGCTTTTGATTCGGTGAGAAGAGTGGTTCTCTTTGAGGATCTTAAAGAGATACTAGAGCAAGACGAACTCCACTTCCTGGCAATCTTGCTTAGAGACGTTCGATTGCAAGTAAGAGTGGGAACTATCTGGGGTAAGCCCTTCAAAACCAACATCGGCGTGCCTCAAGGAGACTGCCTCAGTCCCATTCTCTTCACTCTATACCTGGCAAAAGCACTGAGACAACTTGACCCGGAAACACCCGAGACACCATTCACTCTTCAGGATCACAGTTACTGCACGCAGACACAGTCCCAGTCCCTTCCTGTGGAACTCGAGAACCACAGCTACGCTATTTGCCCGGCAGCATACTTTGAGATGGGATTACAGTATCATCGCTGATGACATCACTTGGGCAAGTAACGATATCCACCCGATAGCAACTGTGGAGAGGCAGGCACCTGAGGTACTAAAAGAGCGAAACTCACAGTAAACACGTCTAAGACAGAGAAACACCTCATCAGTAGAAACGGAAGCAACACCAGTTGGAAGAAATGCAAATACTTGGGATCTTTTCTCGACACTGAGCAAGATATTACCAGGAGGAAAATACTTTTGATGGTATCTTTCAACAAATTCAGGAATGTCTTCAACAGTGATGCAATCTCAAACAACACGAAACTCAAAACATTCCGCGCCTTCATAGCATCTGTATTTCTATACAACAGCGAACTATGGACATTGACTAAGTCACTAGAAGAGAACATTGATGCATTTCACAGAAGACTCTTGCGTTCAATCCTTAATATAAAATGGCCCAAGAAGATCACCAATAAAGAACTGTACAGGAGAACCAACGAGATCCCTTGGAGTACTGCCATTACCCGAAGACGTTTTAGGTGGACAGGCCATCTCCTGAGACTACCCGAGGAAGCTCCTGCCAAGCAAGCACTTCTAGAGGCAATCCGCAAGAACAAGCTACCAAGAGGGGGACAACGAACCACGTGGCTGAAGAGAGTAAACAAGGACCTGACAACCACGGGGGTCAACATCAAGGATCGATGCACCTGGCATGTGGCATCAGACAGAGAACAGTGGAGAACACTTACAGAGAGCGCGATGTCAGATTAGCTTGACGCAAGCGCCTAGATGATGGAGGACTGATAGATACATTTAGCTCCATTACTTTACGTTAATTTGTTGCGCGTCCACGAGAGACAACAAAAATGGCGGAGATTTATCGCACTGTGAATGGGCGCGTATATGGACCGCTGCCGATCTAGTCTTTTTATTCTATGTCTTTTTATTCTATATCTATGGAAATGCCCGCGCAGTACGCTCTGAATAGCCAGTCAGCATCGTTTACGTGTACATCACGGCCAGGGGTTAGTGAAGGAATGCGCATGCGCCCATGGAGTCGAGCACTGATCTCTATATGAAGACTGGATAGCTAATAAAGAGCCGCACACTGTACGAATTTGACGCCATATTGGTGAGACCGGCTGGTGATCTACAAAGGACAAGTTGCCGTCTTTATAGACAGCTTGATTTCTTTTGTAATGTCGCGGCTCACTTGACTTATATTTTGGCCACCACCACTGACCAACTGACCAAGGTTTACTACAATTTTTCTAACGTTTTTATAATGCCGCAAATCACTTTTTCGGCGTTTTTGAAATAATAATCACTACGGAAATGTGTTCCTTTTAGAACATCATAATATGTGTACGTGACCAAAATGCGCGTCAACTGTTGATACAACGCGCGCGTATTTACGCGTAGAACGTTCGTATTATACGCGGCCATCTTCGTGAGACCGGGGGCGAATTGGTCAATATGTAAAGTCTACTGTGTGAATGTTGTATGCATATCCGCTATCCAGTCTTTATATACAGATCAGTGGAGTCGAGGCTGGTGTTTCGGTAATTCCATTGATCTCCATATACACAGACTTTCCCATTGATCTCTATATAAAGACTGGATAGCGGATGTCCATTGTCCATACACCATTCACACAGTAGACTTTGCATATTGACCAATTCGCCCCCGGTCTCACGAAGATGGCCGCGTATAATACGAACGTTCTACGCGTATACACAGCGCGCGTTGTATCAACAGTTGACGCGCATTTGGGTCACGTACACATGATGTTCTAAAACGAATGGACGACGAAAGACAGCAGTAAAGAGCATAATGTACTGTGCAACCTCGTGCCCCGTGGGTACGATCTTGCAGCGCCATGTTGTTTCCCATCATGCCTTGCGCGATCGTAACCCCTGCTGGAATTGTGTAATTTAAATGTGCTGAAATACGTTACATTATAATTAGGGCTGCAGTTTATCCGTTTTACGCGCGGCGCCATCTTTAAAATGTTAAACGTTGTGATTTTGAAGAATCAATCCTTTCAAACACAACGTTTGGACGTTGTGTTAATTAGCAAAGATTTGTATTAAATGTACGTACCCCTTTCGTGCCTTTACAACCACAGACACTGAAAGGTATTTTTTTAGCGAAAAACACGGCTGACATAATCCATATCGTACAGGCATCGCGACTTTTGAATCATATTTTTTTTTCGTACGTGACGTTACGTGCAAACAAAGCACGCGAGCGCATTATGGGCGCGCCCGGCGTGCAATCTTCGAAATGCGCGCGCAGTACGCTGTGAATAGCCAATCAGCGTCATTAACGTCATCATCACAGCCAGGGGTTAGTGTAAGGAACGAGCACGCGCCCCTGGAGTCGAGGCTGTGTACTGTGAACTTGCCAATGGCTCACCGGATCAGTTGGACGTCCCAAACTCAGGTTTAAAGACACTTGCAAAAGTGCACTCAAATGTGGGAAGGTACTTGACGAGTGGAGTAGTACTGTGGATAATCGTCCAAAATGAGAAAACTTGCAAATAATACATGTCAAAGTATAAATGACAAAAGACTTCTGCAAAACAAGGAAAAAAGAGCCAGAAGGCACATGAAGAAAGAATCTATGTTGAAACCCGTTTCGGGCAGATAGGCGATATATATAAAAAGGACACATTTCCGTAGTGATTATTATTTCCAAAACGCCGAAAAAGTCAACTGCGGCATTAAAAAAGTAAACCACGACGTTAGAAAAATTGTAAACCTTGGTCGGTCGGTGGTGGTGGTCAAAATATAAGTCAAGTGAACCGCGATGTTACAAAAGAAATTATGCTGTCTATAAAGACGGCAACATGTCCTTTGTAGATCACCAGCCGGTCTCACCGGTCTCACCAATATGGCGTCAAATTAATTCATTGTGCGGCTCTTTATCCGCTATCCAGTCTTTATGGATGCAACCCTGCAAATAAATTCCCATAGACACTAGTGCTAAATGCCCATACTTCAAAAATATTTTTAAAATACTCAGAACTCTCACAGGTATTTAAGCTGCACAGAAAAATGATGATCGACATGTCGTCTTTCAATTTCTTTTCATTTTTTGGTGGGTTGACCATTGACTTTTCGAGAAATTCTTGCCTGAAGAAGACGACCCCTATTTTCCCCAAAGCGGAACGGCAGCCATCTTGAAAAACGATCCCTCCACAACATGGCAAAATGGTCACGCGTACAGCCCTGTTTGACCTCAGTTTCTTGTCCCGATGGCCCAAAAACGTACGCGAGATTTTACGAGAATTATTCGAGACTACAGAAAAACACGAAAAGTGCCTG